CGTCTCCAGCCATTAAAGGGTAAAGAAGTATTCCTTGTTACATCTCTATACCTTGTTGAATCTGGTATCTTCATTTCCAAGACTTCCACAGGGGCTTTTTGAGAGGGATCTGAGAAGCTAGAATTCCGATTATAAACTTCCAGTCTACAAATATTGTATTGTTTTTCAGAATTTGTGGTACATACCTGGAGAGATGTAAACATTTTGAGAATTAAAAAAAAAGATGACATTCACTCTCCAGAAATTAAAAATCAATATTTTGTCATTGTGGTTTCATCAGGCTATTACAAAAACTACGTTTCGTTGCTGCTCACCATAGGTATCGAAACCCGAATTTTAGCAGCATCAGCCTGCATACTTACTGCTGAGACACTGGGGGCATGCAGGTGGTTTTCAACTCTGGACTTAAAGTCAGGTTTCCATCAAGTAAAAATGGCTGAAGCAGATAGACTTAAGACAGCATTTAGTTATGGCCAAGGTCTCTGGCAATACCGAGTGATGCCATTCGGGCATAGTAATGCTCCAGCAACATTTGAGAGGCTGATGGAAAGAGTATTGGAAGGCCTATAACTGAGGACAGCCCTAGTGTACCTGGATGATGTCATTGTATTTGCAACAACTTTTGATGAGGAAATGTCCCGGCTAGAGGAAGTATTCAAACGTTTGAAAGCAGCAAACCTCAAACTACATCCCAAGAAATGCCACTTGTTCCAGAAAGAGGTGCTTTACTTCGGTCACATTGTAAGTGAGCATGGTGTGCAAACTGATCCTGACAAGGTGAAAGCAGTGCGTGATTGGCCAACACCAGACAATGTGTGAGAGTTAAGAAGTTTCTTGGGACTCTGTACCTATTACCAGAAGTTTGACGAAAAAAGGCCAGAATTTCGAATGGACAATTTCTTGCCAGCATGCTTTCAAGACATTAAATGAAAAATTGGCCTCAGCTCCACTTTTAAAGCTTCCAAATCCCTCACTGCCGTACATACTGGATTGTTATGCTAGTAATGTCGGAATTGGAGGAGTGCTGTCTCAGAAAGTTGGTGAAAACGAACATGTGGTGGCCTACTTCAGTAGGGTCCTGAGTAGACCAGAGAGGAACTACTGTGTAACATGGAGGGAACTCCTTGCTATAGTAAAGAGTCTGACATATTTCCATCCTTATCTCTATGGGTCTAGGTTTACCATCAGGACAGACCATGCTGCATTACGCTGGTTAAGATCATTAAAGAACCCAGAGGTACAACTGGCTCGTTGGATAGGAAAGATACACCAGTATAATTATGATATTGAATACAGAGAAGGAAAATTTCATGGAAATGCCGATGAACTGAGCCGACGACCCTGCAAAAATGACTGCAGACATTGCTGCAAAAGAGAGGTTGAGCTAACCAGGTGTTATCAAGCTGAAGTCAAAGTGACTGGAGGAGTTGATGCTTCTGAAGTGCGACCAAGTATAGATATTAAAGCAGAGCAGGAGAAAGACCACGATTTGAAGCCAATAATTGATTTTCTAAAAGCAAGTGTTTTGCACCCTGCTTGAGAGAAGGTGTCTAGCTTAAGCCCTGTGACAAAGAACTATTGGGTACAATGGGACCAGTTGAAGCTTGAAGATGGTATTCTAGTCTGGAGATGGACCCTACATGAAGAAGAAGCCAACGAGATGGAGACCAGTATGGAAGAAGATACAACCCATAAAATTAATAGACATTGTTGAATTT